ACAACTCCCTTTCTTCACCAGGATATAACGAAGACAATACGGGTATTGAGCCCTACGGTCGGGCTGTATTCTCTTTTAGTGCCCAGTACCCAAATGAACTTACCTTCAAAAAGGGTGATATACTTCACCTCATTAAACACATTGATTCACATTGGACTCTTGGCAGAATTGGAGAAGCCAGTGGAATATTCCCCACATCATATGTGGATATCATAGTAAATTGCTTGCATAGTGAGGAGGAAATGTTCCTTTCACGTTCTGAAGGTTTGCCTCAGACAGTGTACCTGGGCCATGCACAAGCAGCTTATGATTTCAAGCCTTCAGAATCAGGGGATGTCTCAATGATCAAGGGAGATATCCTCAAGATTCTAAAGTTTGTTAATGATAATTGGGTAATTGTGGAGAATACAAATGGCTCAAAAGGTATGTGTCCTAGGAATTACCTCCATATGTTAGTAGAGGGTTCGCAAGAGCAGACTGTGGCCCCAACGAGTCTGTCTCCTGGCTTGACTTCAGAGCCTGCTGCTGAGAGAATGTCCCGCCTGCCCACCCAAGATGTAGAGCAGGCTAGGTCAAGAAGTTCCTCACCCTACAATGCTCTGGGAAATCGTCGTTCCTACAAGAAAGATGACTTTGGGTCTATCAAGACTAAAGAGGTTGACCAAGAGCTGGCCAAGAACATTGCATCACTGGATGTTACTCTGCGCAGCAATCTTAGCCCTCTGGAGAAGAAGAGTGGTGAAAGTGTGTTCAGTGAGAGGGAGAGCATTCAGAGTGAAAGCATAAACAAAATTCAGGTTGTCAGGAAAGCACCTGCAAGGCCTCTCTCTGTGCCTAATATGTCTTCTAGAGTGAATAAAAAGTCTTCCACTGATGGAAACACAGCACTTACTGAGACAGTAGATTTGAGAAGAATGTCTACACCTCCAATAGTTCAACCATCTTCCTCTCCGACCACACCATGCACACCCAGCACTCCAACAACTGTGCAGATGTCTTTAGAGGACAAGGTGGTACCAGTGGCAGCCCCTCGAACCATGATCCTTCCTCCAGTCCCTCCAAGGACGAGACTCAATAAGTCAGACTCCACAAAGTCAGTTGCATCAGAAAGTATTGCAGAGTCTCCTCCTGAAACGGCTGTAAGTGAGGACAAGCATTCAACAGTCACAGAAGAACCAGTATACTCACAAGTACAGAAGCCACGACTCTCTGGAAAGCCGTCAGAGAAGCCGAGAATACAGAAGTTAGAAAAGGGGACAAGCCTGACGAGGGGAGACAGTGCCAACAGTGCAGCCTTTCCAGATGACATCTCAAGTGTTAGTGAAAACAGTTACTCATCAGGTAAGAATACAAGATTCAATTGGAATGATTTTTATTTTCCACTTGGCATTAGTTATGTGCACTGTTCCCTGTGGTTTTGTTTTAATGATCTTTTTCACACTGATATGCTTTTTCAAGCTTTTTAAAGTTTGCCTCACCTTGCCTGTGTATTCCATTACTACCCATTTTTGTGATAAAACTTTATTTTAATTTGTTTTTTGATTAACAAGATTAACATTATTATTATTGATATTATTATCATTAATCCAATTGGCATGGATGGCAAGAGTACATGCCATGCCCACTGTAATATAAGTTCATTTATTGTATTTACACATAGATGGTTCTACAAGTGCTTAGTCACCAAGGAGTCAGTTATCAGTCCTACCTCTCTCACCTGTTTACCCTTTTCCTTGATTTTTGGACAGTTTCTTTTGGATTATTTAATTGTCTTTAAAGTTACCAAAATTTTGATAACGATTTGATAATCATAATATCAGTAAGAATAATAACAGTATTGATATCAATAGTATTAGAAAGAAAGACACATTTTACTGTGATTTCAAGGAAAATGTGTCACAAAAAAATACTGGGGACAGTACATAAATCTATAGTGTTTTGGTTAATAATATCATTAGTATTATAGTTAATATCATTATTGATATTATTATTATCTTTGTTATCATTATTGCTATTATTATTATCTTTGTTATCATTATTGCTATTATTATCAATGTTATCATTATTGTTGTTATTATCAATGTTATCATTATTGTTGTTGTTGTTATTATTATGTAATGTTGCTGATAATAGTAACAAAAAGTCAATTTATTCTTCATAAAAATTATTGGAGTGGAGCAAAAAGGTACCACAGTGGACAGTGTATTTTCCATTCAGTCCCTGTACTAAATGGTTAAGATATTTTTATTGAGTTTGCGCATTATGAATAATAATGTTCAGTATTACTGTCGAACAATGTATTTATTCTAAGGCTTGGCCAACGAAAGCACCACACCTGCTCTGACTCCTCAGAGGCCAGCACCACCTCCTCCACCAAAGGTTTTTGAAAAGGATGAGGAACTGGAGGAGTACTACTCTCTGCCTCCTGATGGTGAGGAACCTACTAGCCTTCTCTCCATGGATTCTTTAATTCTAGTCAATAAGAAAAAAGTAAAAGGCT